TACCAACACTCCAAGATCAGAATACATTGAAAGAGCCTTTCTGATGGACATTACCATTGATGAACATCAGGTTCACATGGATCCAAGCAAGCTTGCACCATTATACCTACTAAATCATCTTAATCCTATCAATGGGGTTAAGACCCGAGAATATTATGAAGCCATTCTAATGGAAACAGGGTCTATCTCTGTTGTCCACTACTTTCAACAGAATACCCGAATCATAGCCTATTCCAAAGTGCAGATAAAGAAGCTTCTTCCTTATACTGAGTGGAGTTCTAATCCCGCACAAGGAAAGAAATTACAAAATTCTGAATTTTCTTATAAATATTTCAAATATGCTGAGTACATAGAAGCTTGGCACAAATTTTTCTATTATCAAAACATTAACAATACTCATAGCTGGTATTTACAGTTCCGGCTACCAATTTTTGAAAGGTTCCCCACTTGGTTTCAAAACTGGTATTTCATGTGGGGATCAACTGCTATGATTTTACCTCCTGCTTTTAAGGAGTTGCAGGAGCAATTTATACAATATAATAATAGCAATAATTCAGTTGACACTCACCTTTACTTCATGGCCCTGTATCAAATCCCTTGGATTATGAAATGGGACTATACCATATCACCCAATACTTCCAATGATTATACATACATCCCACGCTTGGGAAAAACCATCTCTGTGAAATGGTGGGATATCTTTCAAATGGATCTCACCAAAGCCACTCCAAAAAGAATACCACCTAAAACACCTATATACCAGGAAAACCCAAATACTCCAAACACTTCTTTTGACTTTCCAACCTACCTTCGAAATATGCTGCAAACCAACCCACATGCCTCCAAAGAAGAACTGGAAAAACAAATGAAAGAAATCTTTGCTGAAGCAGGAAGAAAACCCACATCTTCCGAAAAAACAGTTCAGTCTTCCCCATTGCACACCAATAGGTACCTCCAACTCAGTCAGAAGGATCCAGAAGAAACAGATCCAGAAGAGACGGATCCGGAAGAGGATGATCCAGAAGAATTCAGTCAGAGACCATGAATTTATCATCCATGACATCACCATCCAGAAGCAATAAGCGATAATGACAAGACATCATATGGGACAAACAAGGGTCCCACCACCGACAGCAAACACTGTACTCCACTTGTAATAAGGCCAAAAGAGCCACTGTACATAGATGCTTTTACTTTTTTATTTTTGTCTTCTTGTACAAAGGGCATCCTCTTATGCTCTTACTTTTGTCCACTAGCGTCTCTCTCTCCCTCCTTTGTCGCATCTTGCCGACACTCTGTCCTCTCTCCTTTGTCGCATCCTGCCGACACTCGGTCCTCTCTCCTTTGTTGTATTCTGCCGACACCCTCTCTCTTTTGTCTTCTCTTGCCGACTATGCTTTGCCAGCTGGTCCATCTGAGCCTAAAGGATTCCCTTCAAGCCTTTTAAAAGGGAAACCCCTTCTCGTCTTGAGGACAGGGCCTAACTTCTCCCCTCTTCTCCTATCCTCAAACTTCAAAGCCTACCTCCGAAGCCTAAGCCTTCTGAAACCTCTGAGTCTTCTGAAAACCTCTGAGCCGTCTAGCCTTCAAAACCCTCTGAGCCTCCTGAAACCTCACAGACTTCTGTAACCCTGTTACCTCTACCAAGCCACAGACTTCTGTAACCCTGTTACCTCTACCAAGCTACAGACTTCTGTAACCCTGTTACCTCGACTATTACCTCGACTGAGCCTCTGCACTTGAACCATACCTCTGAACCTTGAACCTCAACAACCCTGTTATCACAACCAAACCTCTGCCATCATACACCTGTGCAAACCTCTGCAACAGTTCATACCGTTCCTATCTGAAGCTATCTTCGCCCTCATAGCTCAACCAGGTTCTCTCTTACCTCACTCTATACTTATGTGTGATTGTAATATCCAAGATTTACCTTCATACTGCCCGCATCACTGGAAACTATTTTCCAGTTACTGTTTATGTGCTCAGTAAGTCTCCTGTTCTAAAATATATCTCTGATCTATTTCCTCTCTGTTTTATTTCCCTGTTTCATGTACTATCCTTCTATTTCCTCTCTGTTTTTATTTCTCTGTAATTAACTTTCTTTCTCCTTGTTTTCATCTTGTAAACATTGTAAACATATGAGATTATAAATAAAGTTTGCTAGTGTGATTCTCTATCTGCCTGAATAGTAAAATTTTATGTCTGCTTATTATGCAATTTAAAATTTTATTTAATATTAAGATAGGCAACACTAGTTATGCCCAGTGGATAGTACTTGATATCTCAATAGTCCCGTTCATAGGAATCTTATTATTCTGTCTAAATTACTATCGAATTTTACAATCATTAATACAGTACAACAGCTTGCTGTTTACATACCTGTTATAATTCCTAATCATAATCTTTCAAATAATCCTGAAAACCTGAAAACATAAAATCCAATAAATAAAAAGTCGTCAAAATCGACAAACGACAGTGCTGTAGATCCTGGCGCAAAGTGGTATATATATATATATATATATATATGGCAATGATCATGTCAACCCACGGGCTGACAACAATAGTGTCAACTAACGACCCAGATTGAATCTAAGCTGATCTGATGGTCGTAATCTCTTTTCATGTTTGAATTTTCATCATTTTTTTTGTACAAATCAAAATCATTTGTAATTTGGAACGCCTATTTTTCAAACATACAATAATCTAATAAAAATATAAAAAAATAATTCACAAAATATAAATTAACCAAAATACCCCTGAATAATTTTGGAGGTATTTTATTTTTGAATTACTTTTTTTATATTTTATTATGTATGCATTGATGAGAAGAATAAACGCCTACAATTTTAAGTGATTTGGATTTGTAGAAAAAAAACTAAAAATTCAAATATAAAATGAGATCGTAACCATTAGATCGGCCCAGATTGAATTAAGGCCATTGGTTGACACTTATAATATATACGTTAAAAGCATTTGGTAATTTTTAATCTTTTTTTCTTTAGTTTTTGATGCTAACATTAGCATTTTAGCAGATGACTCGAGGCCAAACCAATGATTTAAAAATCAGTGACCCAATCCTAAATCGGGTGATACGAATTGGGAGTCACCATGAACGTCCCGGATCTAGTAAAAGACTAGGATTTAGTCAATTCAGAATAATAGACTCGCTTATCTTTTTGTGGAACCGTCGATTCTGATGATTCTTCACCGTGTCTGACAGATTCTTAATTACTTCCGACCAATTTTTCATCGAGTCAAGCGAAAAATAAAATGATGAACAATTTTTTCTTGAATTATTTTTATTTTTTAAAATTTGGGACAAAAATTACCAATTCCACCGATTATTCTGATCTGATCCACCGATTCGACAACGGTATGGGTGTGACCAATTTGAGTCACCGATCTATTTTTTTAAACATTGGCGCAAGTCATTTGCTAGATTCTTCATTATAAAAATCAGCGAAATACACTTTTTTATGCTTTTCCATAGATTTAATATGGGGTGTTTTTTGTATTAATGAAATATGCTCTCCCTATTGCATTTTTGAGAAAAAATTTATATAGAGCCGACGCTCTAGACAATCAAATTAGAGCCTATCTCAAAAATTTAACTATAAGAGAATGTTTTGATGCCCAAATATCCTCAAGTTGATCATCTCGACATTATCCATGGACATAAGAAACAAATGGATTTCAAGTTTTGGAAATAGTGTATTTTGTAATACATTTTTGGATCATCAATTTTCAAGATTTTTAAGTTTTCATAGATTTATCGATCTACAATATGTTTGAAGCTTTAAACTTTATAAATAAATATAAAAATATGTTTTAAGACTAACAGATATTTCCAGTGTGAAACACATTTCTCGGCGCCATTTGAAGGAAGGCTCTAATTTGATTTTTTAGGGCCTAAGCTCTATACAAACGGCACCAATCCACCTCCATACAACTCTCTACATAAACATCCAACTCCAAGTGTTTTATTACTAACCAAGTTCTTGTTTTCTTGTTGTTCACACGGAAAACAAATGCCCCTTGTTCACTAATCCCAAGCCCGAAATAGCTTACAATATACAAATCCCCCAACCGCTAGACAATACATAACCCATCAAATCACCGAAAAATTGCCTATTTCCGGCGAAAACTTGCCAGGAAAACCAGAGGCCCAAAATTCCAGCCTCTAAAAACTAGCAAAAAAAACCATGCGAAACTTCACGATAACCGAAATTAGGGTGAAACCTTAACTGCAAGCCCATGAAAACAGGCCGAAAAATCCACCCCAAAACCGCAAAAACATCTATTCATTGGTGAAAATTTCAGCATAATCTTGGCCAAGGCGATGGAGGTGCTAACCGCGTTGGACGAAGCCAAATCTGCCATTGTTATGGTTCGGTTTTAATACGGATAGGATTTGGTCAGCCACCGGTGTTATTTTTTCCTTAAAACGGGGATCTAAAAGTGCTTTATATATATATATATATATAATTTTAAAAAAATATCTCTATATCTTCTAACCCTTAGCCAATTTAAACATATTTTTTAACCTACATAAATATGAAAAAGACATGTTCAATCTAAATCTAATCTTTTCTTTCTATTCACTCATACACCTCAAACTTCCCTCTATTTATGTCTCACTCTCTCCCCTCCCATATTTCTCCAAACACCTCTTTATCTCCACTCAATAATCTCAACCATTTTCTCTCTCTAAAAGTTTGAAAAGATAGCTTTTAGAACAAGTATGTCTTTTTATATTTGTTTAGCTTAAAAAATATATTTAAATTAGCCCAAAGGCTTATCAAAAATAAAATCTACAATTTTTATACCTCAAGATATTTTTTAAAACCTTTAGTCTATTATGAAAATAAAACCTAAAAATAAGAAGTATGAAGATATTTTTTCCTAATTTTAACATCATCAATTCTATGTTTTCGTTGGGCCACCACCTTTTAACATTCATCTACAAAATGGATGTCTAATGTACCACAAGATGCTACTACGAAAATACGTTCCCTGATGCACAAACTACTTTCCCCCAACTAATAATAGCTTGGGCAAGGTTTATTGACAAGCAACTCGCAGCTTACATTATCTTCCTCCTTTTCTACTACAGTTGTAAAAGGAACAATTATTTTACATAGAATGCTATGGGTCACCATGAATACCAACATTTATGGCATACAACTTTCAAGAACGCAACACACACTAACACACCACCCATTCTCTTCTCAAAACAACAAAAGACCAAGTCCTCGAAACACCAGTGCCTCGCATCTCCTTTTGCTCATAGGTTAACAATTCAAGTGAAGACCACCGTGTGATACGCGAACCTTAGCTAGATCCATACTTCATTGAACGATTCTTGCCCCTTGATCGACCACCTACAGCTGCTAAAGTTGAAATTTTGAAATCAACTTACTTGTTTTCATTTTCCCAAACAGCCTCGAGTGCTTTATAGTTGGATTTGGGTGCTTCAGTAGAGTTGTTTCCATGAGCATTGAGGCCAGGAAGTGCTCCCTGAGGGCCAGGTTGAATGGATTTCCTTGGCTTTGTTTTAATCCCGAGCAATCTCAAAACAAATCTCGCAAGCTCACCGTACAGTACCCCTGAGCGATCAAACAACTGCAACAGACATTTGGAAGAGGAAGGAAAAGGGCGGGGGAGTGGGGCATAAAGACAAGTTAAAACTTGAAAACAAGCAAACAAGTTGAACACATTAACAAAAAAAACTTGGAAATAAGTGAAGTATTGATAAAGAAAACGAAAAATGAAGAATCACCTGAAGGAGTGCAGACATGAACATGTGGAAGGCATGGGTATTCTGATCAATAAGAAGAGCAATTCGGCCAAAAAAGTCTACAACACCATGCATCTGAAAATCAAAAGTAGGATGAGAGGCAAAGACAACAAATTCAATTAAAAGCACGTACAGAAGCATCCCTCATTCATGCATCTGAAAATCAAAAGCAGGATGAGAGGCAAAGACAACGAATTCAATTAAAAGCACACACAAAAGCATCCCTCATTCATGATCCACAAATTTTAACAATTTTTACAGTCCTGAATATTTTACAAAGAAGACAAAGAACAAGGAGTAAGTGATTCCTTGTTGGTTCCTACAAAACACGCAAGAACAAGACTGGCTTCACAGCACATGACTAACATGTCCACCCCTAAAATGCACCACTGCCCACGGAGCTAGTGACTCCTCCAGTGCATATTGGATAACATTAAGGCCAGCCTTACACAAAGAAGGGATCTGAGATTGATTAGCGACAAGAACACTAAGCTAAGCACAGCGGTGTCATGCATCCCCAATGCTTCCACATAAAAGATATAAGCATCTCCCTTTAGGGATCCCCAAAGTAACCCTCCAACCCTGCTAGAACAGGCTTACCAAAAGAACATCTATCAAATTGTAGACCTAAGGATAGTCAGGCATGAGAGAACCACGTGCCTTCACCCCCACAAAACAGGTCCACTGCATTGAACCCCTTGAACTCAAAATCAACAAAGGCATAGGAAATCATTCTCCTACAAATGATCCCCCTTGAACTCACTATGGAAGATTTATCCCATCTGAAAATTTAGTTGTATCTTTCTCCAAATGCTTCAGAATATGCCCAAGCATAAAAATGTAGCATCTAAATGGACAGGAGTCAAAATCAAGCCAACCACGGCCCCAAGGAGTCGCCCACTGCAAGTCAAAGCTTGTAACATTGGAGACCATATTGAAGGTACAACTGGATAAAGGATGAGCAGAAGATGGTCAACTGTTTCCGTCTCATTGAATATCAAGCACATGAAAACCTATGATGTAAAAGGTTGTAAAAAAATAGTGTTATAAAAGGTCTGAAAGCGTCAAACAAAACCTGAGCACCTTAGATCGTCCAATCATGATATTACTCGTGGACCTTGGGAGAGTCTTGTTCCTAAAACAATACTTTGATACCTAACCTGAGGAGACCGTGTTCCTAAGAGGAAGGCAACACCATTCTTTTTGACGAACCATGGTTGACATTAAGCACCAAAACAGGAAAATTGAGGTTCAAGATGAGAGCGAAACCAATAACCGAGATCCAACTTTCCCATCTGGCCTCCTTACCATAGTGGCCAAAGATTCTTCTTCCATGAATTCCCATTCCTTGCAATAACAAGCCACATGTTCTTTTCACTACACAATGCTCAACCATGTGAACGCCTTTGAAAGACAGATACTATTACATCATGGAAACGACTAGCAAGGTGTATCCGACTAGGAATATTATAATCAACTACGAATTATTAAAAGATGTTTGAAACTAAAGGTATCCTATTGGATAATCATCATAAGATGATCAGATATGTGATAAAGAATTCATATAAGAAGTACCAAATCTGGCAGCAGAGATCAGAATAACAGCCTTACCGCACGAAGGACGGAAATCCAAAAGCTTGGGGGTGATGCAGGGCCCCCATTTGGGTCATTTGGATCATGGTTACCATATGGACCACCCATGCCCATCCCATATCCACCCATGCCCATCCCATAACCACCCATCTGTCCTCCGTATCCACCCATCTGTCCTCCATATCCATTGTTATACATTCCACCTCCATACATCCCAGAACCATAGCCTCCTCTGTACGTATTGTACATACCCCCACCATATCCTCCCCCACCATATCCTCCATAGCCACCAAGTTGAGAATATGTTCCACCACCATACCCAGGATTGTAATTCATATTTGCTCCGTATCCTGCATTGACCAAGAATTATTCATGACAAAAAGATCATTACATGCATTTATTGAAGAAGAGACATTTTTACAAGCAAAAATCCACAATCAAAATTGATGTTCAATACCGTAATTGTTTCTGTCCTGCTCCCAAGGCCTTACAGGTTGAGGCCTTCCAGCAGGATTACCATTCACTACAGTATTCCTTTCAGCAACTGGAGCAATCTCTCCAGGTTTAGCAGTGCCAGATGCCTCCACAACATCAGTTGTACGGCCAGGAGCTGGAGGCTTAAAAGGCGATGGTCCAGCTGAGCTCTCCACACGTTCCCAAGGCTTTGGAGGGGGCATATTACCTGCAGAGACAGAAACCATAAACACAGTTTTGAGATAGAAATGATTAGTTACAGAATACTTATGAAAGAGGACAAATGCACTAGTTTGGGCATATGACTCTGACTAAAACTTCCAATCACCAAGGGCTATGTTTATGAGTAAATGCATCAATCACACTATCTATACCATCACTAGCATGAAATCCAAATGTTTATAAGCTTCTCATAATCCAAGCTTACATAAGAAGCAGGTGACAGATAAAAAATCAGAAACTATATGACAATAATGATAGCAATGCATGAAAATGATATGCAGGACTTTGACAGATAAAAAAAAAAAAATCATTTCGGAACATATATGAACTTTCCAACATTTTTTATTTCTCCAAATTAGGGTAACTAGGGTATATCAGAGTTCAATAACAGATCTCCAATAAAGTAGAATCCCTCTCCAGATGGTCTACATGCGGGTGCTTAACCAAATGTAATCTAAGGCATCCATCTTAACTCCTCTGATTGTTCTCAACCATGGAGAATAAAGAAAGTACAGAAATAATTCAAATCAACTTCCCTGTAAAGGATAAAAGGAATTCAAAGAGATGAAATGCGACAACAAAACCATTAAAGGTTCAAAAACAATCCTATCCAAGCATTCAAGTGAAAGTTAGGCAACTGAAGCAAGATCCCCACAGATGGTTCAATCCAACAATTATGGCTTTCTGAAATTTATAAGAAGCTGCTATTTTCCAACCTAGAAGGAGGAAATTCAGGACACATAATACCCAGAAGATCGAAGAGGAGTTACAGGGAACATGGGAGTCTTGAGGAAAGGTTTCATTCATAATTCGAAAAGAGTAAACGAGAAACAGAGAAAAGAAAGAGAAGAACCTACAACAAGGGAGATATTTGCGAAGAGATTTTATGACAAAGATTTCAAACATAATCTAAAGATTTCTTTTATCCAAACACTAGGTTATGTGGCTAAGCTTAGGACCAGGTTGAGCACTGAATGAAGTATACTCTTTAGATTACATACATGAATGAGGACTTGATGATAAATAATTTTGGAAGGTTAGCAGCAGTTCAAACAGGATCCATTCTAGTGAGTCAACTTGGACTCACAGGAGTCTAACCAGATCAGGACGGAATCCAGATATTAAGCATCACGATTCAGGTTTTTCAAGATTTAGCCGAGTCACGTCGAAGTCTTATGCTGATTCGGATGAGTACTAGTATTATTTTAGTTATATTATAAACTGGATTTACCCATTCTGTGTTTTAACAAAAGAGATTACAAGCTCAACAGAAATCTACCATGTAAGTTGTTTACTTAATCCCTTCTTAATTTCATGACATGTACTGCAGTGCACATTGGTCTTGCTACGACAAGAAGAAACCAAAGTCACCAAACAATCAGTCAAATACATATTTCTTGCTCTCCCACCAAAGATCACGTTAAAAATGAATTTTACAGAAACTACACAAGTAAATTTATTTTAGGTACTCTGCCGATTGAACTCTAATTCTATTTAAAACATTGCAAAGCTGTTTAGTCAGATATCCAAAGTTGGTAACCATTAACTGGTTTTTCTTAAGCCTTAACTGGTTTTCATCTGATTCTTACATCACCAAACTCACTCAAGAACTCTTATCTAAGTTCAACTAGCTACATAATAAAACCTTATCTAAGTCCTATAAATAAAGTTGCAGATAAAAATAAATTAGAACTTTACCAAAAAAGTTCTGCATTGTCAACCCTTCCAAGTTTAGAAGAGGAAATAAAACCCCTTGGGTAATACCAACTTTTGAAGGAGGTGCATAAGCCCTTGCTTTCTCACCTTTTCAACCGATATTCTCTCCTATCTCAAACTCTCCAGGTAATATATTATCTTTCTGGTGAATATTCACTAATATCTGCACATATCTTTTAGACAAATTTCCCATCCTTACTAAGATTTCTAGCATTCAACGACCACAGCGAAATCAGATAAGTGTATATAGGTCTCAACTTTTCTTTTGACAAGATGCCTGTCAAATATGATACGTTTGACTGAGTTTTTTCTATTGTTTTCCATTAATCTCTCCAACAATTAATCATAAGTTTGGTTCCTCCAAATGTTATTCTAGTTCCCTTCCAACTACTCACACTCTTTAAGTAGACCGGGCACACACCAGGTCACCCCTGGCCTGGCCTCAGCCCTGACCCAGCCTATGTTGCCTGGGCACATATACATGTTTCAATGTCTGACACAAATACAGAGTGTTAGAATCCTCATGTGATGAAGAAGACGATTCAGGAACACATGCAGCCTATGTTGCATGGGCACATATACATGTTTCAATGTCTGACACAGATACAGATCAGAATCCTCATGCAATGAAGAAGAGGATTCAGGAACACACTGAAACAACCAAAACCAAAAATGTTTTACTAATACCCATTTCATAATAAGTGCCACAAAAAAACTCAATTATACCTTAATTGGCTGAATCCATAGATATTCTATATGTTCCAGACATTTTTGAAGTTCTGTCAACTAAAAACAAAAACAAAGATCAAGCCTCAACAATTATGTAATCATCGCTAACAGACAAGAAGAATAATCCAGAAGAATATAGTTGGTTTGTATGTTGATACATGCTGCACAGTCAGGCCACGAGCTGCCAACCAGGGCCAGGGCTTAGCCAGGCTGAACCATCCATCCCACTGCCTGGCCTAACTCTAAGTCCACATACTGATTCAAACAGCATATCTATTTTTGCTTTCTTTACATACTAATCATAGGGTGAGTTCTGATGAAGAGGGAGACAGAACAGAATCTTGTGAACTTCACATTTCAAAAAAGTTACTCACAGTAATTTTGCCAAGTTTTATACAAGCAATGTTCAAAAATTCGGCCGCCTGGCCACTGGAAGGCCAAAGCGCCTAAGCAGGCTTCTGTGCCTCAATGCAGGCCGGCCGAGGGAGGAAAAATCAAAAGATACACTTCCTGATATTTTGTGGAGCTTTGAGCGACTGTATAAGAGGACTTTTAGCTACCAAAGATCACTTGTTTGGCCGATATTGGTTTCAGTTTGAAAAGGCTAGTGCATTACATTATTTGAATTAGGGTCCAGTATTTTTTTGTATACTGTGTAATGATTTATTATTCTTTTATGTGTTGACTGTTGTATTGAGGTTAAAAGTAAACGATGTACAAGAGTTTAGGCAACCACCAGCTAGGTGATCTTCTTTTGTGATATTTTTACACATTTGCAGTTGAAAACTAGAAATATTTTGTGAATATCTTCTGATTTAGGCCTATATATCGAATTTATTTTGAAAAGCTTAGTGCATTACAATATTTGAATTAGAGTTTAAATTAAGTTATTGAGGACATGTGGGTAGTAGAGATCATGCTTTCCGTCTTTGACTTTTTATGGTTGCTCTATCAGTTTATATACTATGTACTTTGAGTTTTGTTGCAATTTGATAATGTCCATCTTGGTAATTATTTTTTTTTATTTTTATTTTCACAGGTTTTGGGGCCCTAAAACTGCCCTAAGAATTCCCTAGGGGGCCTAAGAACTCCTTCGGGGCCTAACCTGTCCTTGTTCCTGTAGGTGGGCACCTGGCTGCCTGGGCCGCCAGGCCCCCAAACTGCTTATGGGTTGCAACCACATTTTTGAACATTGGTCACAAGGAATTTCCTTTTACAGTTTATCAGTCCAATTAATCAAATAAATTTGGGATCTTTTTGTTTCAAATTTAATTACATGCCTGGAATTTATATCGGAGAAAGTTCCACATCAAAGTAACCAAGAATCTGAAGTGGTCTACCAAGTTGAAGGACCGTAATAAGTATTGCTAGATGATCCTTAAACATGAACGAAAGAGGGAGATATTTCTCGACTTAAAAAACCATGAGCAGACCCCAAGCATTGTAAATATTTAGTGAAGTCGAGCAAGCAGGATATTCTAAGGAAAGTGTGTTTAGTGGTGAAGGTTCAATGCTCTGTTATAAGCATTGCCTCTTAAGCCTTAGAAGATGAGCAGGAGAGGCAAGACTCAAAGAACGGATGTCTATACTGAAGGGGAGGCCAAGGCAGGAAGTGGGGCATGAGCATGTGTGCAACGAAGGTCCTGGGACCTGAAGCTCAAGGGGGAATAACAAGGGCTGAAACATGGTTGGTCAAAATAAAAAGCAGGTAAACATGAGATAAACACAATGAACTGACTTAGCATTATTGAGGGGGAGATATATATAGTGTGGTAGTGCCTAAGGCTTCATAAAAGAAACTCAAAATTTTAACATTTAGAACCCAAAAGCCTAACAAAACAAAAATATATAAAAAATAATTGAACAAATACGAGAGCCTAAAACCAAAGCAAATAAAATCAAAAGCACAAAAGCCCACATAATTTTCCACAGTAAACCTAACACCAAATGGAATGAAAACAGAACTCTCCAAGGCAAGAGCTATCCAGAGAAGAAGTCCAAAGTGTACCAAAATCAATATAAGACCTGAGTTCACAAAAGCCTGAGCATAAAGAGGAACAGGAAAGAAAACTGAAAACATAGTGACATAGAAAGTAATCCTGATACCTGGGCTCGTTGGGCTTGTGGCTGTGCCTGAGGGTGGGAGGCTCTTTCTACGACCTTATGCCCAGAGTAGCACTAGGCTGCTTTTACTGGGGCAACACCATTCAGGCGACGCAGCAAACCTCCAAAAATCCTATAATCCAATGAGCCTCACCAAGCAAACAAGAACTCACCATATTTACAACAGAAAATTCTTGGATTTTGATAAATTTATACTTCTCTTCCATGGCCTATGAGACTTACAGGGCCAAAAACATATAAGGGCATTAATCTAAACTGATAAAAAAAGAAGAAGGATAGAATTACATGGACTATCATTTCCTACACTTTCGTGAATAGTTTTAGTGAAGGACTGAGGAAGTGGATTAGGGCCAGCTACCCATAGTTATTTTTATAAGTGGTGGAAAAACCATCAGGAAGGCTCTCAGGATATTGATT